CTGGAACTTTCTGCAATGACGAGAACATTCTGGAATCTGTGCTGATCCACGCAGCCCACCTGGGCTGGTGAGCACTTGACACATTGTCAGTACAAGTGAAAGGAAGAAATTTAAATTGTGCACATCTGAAGTTCCACTTGTGGCCAGCGATTGTACCCTTGCACCGTCCGGTTTCACATGAGGAGTTCATCCCCTAGGCTACACAGAACACTGGACTTGACGTCCTTAGGAAAGCACAAAAAGATATCTCATCACTATTATTGTTGAAAGAAAAACTCAGCTTGCAGCTGGCTGAGCTCTAGTTCCATTTGCAAAAGCAAAAGGAGTCACCCACATTGGATGACCCACTCGACCTTCAGATTCCTGCACAGGTTCTTTCTAAATACCGGGTCTCTGACTCAGACTTCTCTCGGCCTCTTTCTCTCTCTCTCTCCTTTTTACCATTAAGGATGTAAATGTCAAGGAAGTAAACTGTCATTTGCAAGGTCATAAATACAGAAACCACAATAGGATTGGAATTTATGCTGATATCTGGAGGCTCAAGTGACTCTCAAGGGCTCCTCCAGTCACTAACATAGGAGCATCTGACTGTCAGGACATCTCCTCACCAATGCAGTAATAAAGAACTTTGCATGTTGTTTTTTTACAGATTGTGGTAATTACATCTCAGCACACCGAGTCTCCTTTGTAATGCTATGAATCTCAACTTTGCACATTTTAAACTAATGAGGTGAGCCAGGTGTGGTGGTGCAGGCTTCTAATCCCAGCTTCTCAGGAGGTTGAGGCAGAAGGATCACAAGTTTGTGATCAGCCTCAGCAACTTACAAGACCCTGTCTCAAAAAAAAAAAAATACAAAGGACTAGAAATGTGGCTCAGTAGCTCAGTGGTTAAGCACCTCTGAGTTCAATCTCTGGTTCTAAAAGAAAAAAAAAAGAGTAATGAGATGAGGTTAAATAACTTCATAACAATCAGGCAGATGAATCTAAAGTGGAAGGCAAAGACATTGGTCAGAACTGCAGGAGCCAGCTACGTTGGACAAACTAAAAGGGCACAATGACTGCCACCTACCACAGTAATGGATGGGCTGCTGGTTCACACGAAGCAATATCAGGTGACCTTCAGCATGTGCCATTATCACAGGCTGGAAAAAAAGAACTGAGCAGCTGACCTTAAAAGGAATCATTGGGAAAAGTCCATGAGAGTCCCATAACCACCATCAGCAGCACCAACCCCATCATCATCAATGCTGTGGTCATCACCACCCTCACCATCATCACCTTGTGACCGTCATCACCATTCTCACATCACAACATTGTTTTTGTCAGAGTCCTTATCAATCCCTTCATCACATAAACTTAACCCCTGTCCATGGTTCTGTTTGAAGATCACCACGACCATGATCCACCGAGTCCTCACCAACGCC